GGGGGAGAAGAAGGGGGAAGTGGAGAGGAAGAGGAGGGAGAAGAAAGAGGGGAAGATGGACAAGAAGGGGGAGGGGGAGGGGGAGGGGGAGGAGGATGAGAAGATGGAAAAGTGGAAGGGGAAGGAGAAGGAGAAGGAGGGGGAGGGGAAAAGAACGGGGAAGTGGAGAAGAAGAGTTGTCACATATATCGTCACAAAGATATCAGAGCGCAAAAGCAAAAAAATACAAGCAGAAAACCAATTCATTTTTTATCTTCTAACTTACAACTCACCCTGTTCAGAACCTCTTGCGTACAAGGCCGCCCACGTGGATGTAGGTTGAGCGGCGGCTGCCCCCACCCCCGTGTGTCATATCGACCCACTTGCACACAGCCAAATGGCAAAGAGGCAAAGAAAGAGGAAGGGAACAGCCAAATATAACAAAACAGGGGGAAACAAACATAAACAGATCCTAGATGACAAGTCCCGCATGAAAGCACCGCCCCCTTCGTCACAGGCCAAACGACGGGACAAGTCCAACCAGGATATCAAAACACCCTTGCCTGCAAACAAACGCACTCCCAGATAACTCCAAGACTCCTTTGCGATTTTTCCTGTGGACATGTTGCAGAAGTGGTATCACTTCCGCCGCTCTGATGCTTCGCTGGTCTAAACTACGATACTGGGACACCACGAACGGCAAAAAAAACACAAAAGACAATCCCAGATGACGATTCCCACATAAAAGCACCGCCCCCTTACACACAGGCCAAACAACGGGAAACAGCCAACTAGGATCCCAAGGAGATAAGAAAAAAAGCCCGGACGGCAGGTCCCACATGAAAACACCGTCACTGATCCCCTACCGTAAGCCGAACAACGGGACGAAACACAAATTCTGCCATAACCATACTAAAAAAACGGAACCATACAGCACGTCTGCAAAACGAAATACCCCAACAATGGGGAAGAGCAAAGCGAAAAAAGGGGAGGTAGAAAGACGAATTAGAAAGAGTACATTCTACCATAACCAAAGAAAAAGCCTGCTAGTACAGGCCCCACGCTCGCCACATCATCTACAAAAGCAGAGAGCTAGCAACGTATATATCGTCACAAAGATATCAGAACGCAAAACAGAAAAAAAAAAAGAAAAAGATCGATTCATTTTTTATCTTCTCTTACAAAACCCCCTGTTCAGAACCTCTTGCGTACAAGGCCACCCACGCGGATGTAGGTTGAGCTGCGGCTGGCCCCCCCCTTGTGTCACACAGTCAAAAGGCAAAGAGGCAAAGAAAGAGGAAGGGAACAGCCAAATACAACAAAACATGGGGAAACAAACATAAACAGATCCTTGTCATCCTAGATGACAAGTCCCACATGCAAGCACCGGCCCCTTCATCACAGGCCAAACGACGGGACAGGTCCAACCAGGATACATATATATATCGTCACAAAGATATCGGGGCGCAAAAGCGAAAACAACAGAAAGAAACAAGAAAAAAATCAATTCGTTTTTTGTCTTCTTTCTTAGAACTCCCCCTGTTCAGAACCTCTTGCATACATCGTCAAACAGAGCTGCCCGGCAAACCGTAGGCAGAGAGGGAGAAGAGGATATATATCGTCACACGGTGAATCAAAGAGGGAGAAGAGGATATATATCGTCACAGTGTATCGGAGCACAAAGGCGAAAAAAACAAACAGAAAAAGGAAAGAAGTGAGGAAGGAAAGCTCCGCCTGTTCATCACCTCTTACGTACAAGGCCGGCCACGTGGATGATGGTTGAGCACCGGCTGGCCCCATCCCCGTGTGTCACAAGGACCCACTTGCACGAAGCCAAAAGGCAAAGAGGTAAAGAAAAGGAGGAAACCAAACCTCACTTGTATGACAGATAACGCTTTCGACACTACCGACAGATACGGAGTTACACAACAATCCAAATATAATAAAAAGTAAAAGAAACGGAACCACAACAGAGGGCCCGCAATATACAGATGCCATTCCACATCAGGGAGAAATGGCCGACAAAAGATAAAAGAAAAAAATAAAACAAAAGAAGGTAAAATCTGCCAAAAGGAAGAGCATGCGCCTGCTAGTACAGGCCCGACACTATCTTCATCATCTGCAAGAGGATCCACGTGGCTGGCCTTGTACGTAAGAGGTGATGAACAGGTGGGGCTTTCCTTCCTTACTTCTTTTCCTTTGCTTGTTTTGCTTTTTTTGCCTTCGCGCTCTGATTCACAGTGTGACAATATATATATTGCCGCACAGTATACTGTCACAAATTTGTCATAACGCAAAAGCGAAAGGAAAACAGAAAGAAAACAAAGAAAATAAATTCATGTTTTTAATCTTCTTCATTCGTACTCATGTTTGGACCGTTACTTCTAATTGATTTACTGCTTCACTGTTTGTGCTACATACAGTGCATCGTTCTTTTACAGCTCTGTGTTATGTGTTGCTTTCTTAGTTCGTGTTTCTGAGCGTACCCCAGATCCACTGCTCGAGATGTATCTGACCGAAATACGGGCGACTTCGGATGTATCCGTCCCGCACTTATCTCCACAGCTTAGCCCGGAAATCCCCCCCCATTTGCTTTCTCTCTCGCTGTTTTACTCGGTCTTGTCAAGAATCCTCGAAGGAGGGGGATTAAAAAATAATAATACTAATCAAATTAAGAACGCGAAGGAAGTTCGCGAAGTTCATCATGGGATACAAGATCCAAAAATAGAAATCCCCTTCCTTTCCCGGATAGATGGATCACGCGAATGTTCTTGGATACGATACAATAATAGATCCAAAAATAGAAACCCCCTTCCTTTCCCGGATAGATGGCTCACGCGGATGTTCTTGGATAAGATACAGTAATAAACAGATAATAAGGAAGATTGATTATTAATTATTACTTATGGTTATCTTTCAAGGATCGAGGAGAGAGGGGTCAGTGTGTGATGACTGGCGTGGAGGGAGAAAAACGTGTTACTGCCGACCACTGCTATGACCCGCACGTCGATTTTCAACTGGCAAGAGGAAAAAACGAGACCCAGAGAAAAAAGGGCCGGGTGCGGGGGCGGGGAAACGGGGACGGAGGGGTTTAAAGGGATGGAAAGTGGGGGAAAGCGGGGTGAAAGAGGGGAGGAGGGGGAGGAGGAAGAAAACTCCTCCGCTCCGTGTGCTGCAACGAGAAAGAGGGCGGGACGCCGCTCGACTACGCAATTAAGGGTGTACTCACACTAGGGGTCTCTTTCGCAGACGCATCTGGCCACCATTGGAGGAAATTCATAGCGTGAGAGAACTCCAACTGGCTCTTCTGCTCCAGGCAGAAACACTGAAATGACAGCCCCCACTGGGGGTATTCCTTCGCATGCTGTAGAGTTCGCATGCATCAGGCCATACTATCGGCCAGGTTCATGTACCTTAGCACAAACTAAGCCAGTGAGACCTGGTCCTAAATCCGTTTAAATCCTGATCGCGATCCGTCACTTATCCCCCACTGCTGCACCATAGAGCCTACGCAGTAATGTCGGGATATAGATAGAGGTGCAGTGGCTACCGGGAGTGCATCCCAGTAACGCCCATGCGCTTTATTCGGGAAAGGACGCCATCCCATCTAAAATGGTCTTGAAGTTGCCGGTGACCAGCACAACACACATCATTTGTCTTCCCCATTTCTCTATTGGTCCTCTTCTTTTCTCTTCTTGTTCTTTTTGTTTTCCCTTTCGCCCTCTTCTTGTCTAACTTCCCTTTTCTTTTCAATTTAAATTCCTTTTCCCCCCTCCTCTTGCTGTTATGTTTCGCCCCCCCGCCAAACTCGTTCCGTTTCCCACCCATACCAAATCCATTACGTTTAGCCCCGTTCTTACAGACCTATTTGCCGAGCTTCGCCTCTTATTGTACCCTTCGTCATTATGGTTAGCGCCGCCACTAAACCCGTCCTTTTCATCCCCCTCCATTTACCAAATCGGTAACGTTTAGCCCCGCTATAACAAACCCCTTTTCCGAGCTTCGGCCCTGATTGTACCCTTTGCCGTTATGTTTAGCCCCGTTTCCAAACACGTCCCGTTCACCCCCTTTTACCACATCCGTTACGTTTACCCTCGTTATTACAGACCTCTTTGCCGAGCTTCGTCTCTGATGCTGGCATCGCTACGCTTGCTGAAGGTGCTCCCATCTGAGGCCGGCGATGGCGACAAGTCTTGCTCGAGAGATGGCGGCTGAGACTCTTCTTCACCCAAGGAGGTAGGAGCGGGCTCCGCGCCCGTCGCTGTCGTGCTCGCCTCCATCCGAACGCGTGGGAGCTGCCTGTTTGTTCGCTGGGCATTTCCCCGCTTCCGCAGGAACGGGCAAGCTTCCAACCCCGCTCCCGACGCGCTCGACAGCTGTTCTCCCGCCAAGAAAACAGAAGGACAGCGCGGGACACCAGAGACGGCGCGAAGGGCCCCGAAGCGCGAGGAACGCCATTCCTGTCGTCCAATTAGTCCATGACACGTGGCAGTCTGGCACGACGAGATCTGCCTGCTTGCGGGGACCGAACAGGTCTGCAGGCCATCCGACACTGCCGCCGCCGCCGCTGCTGACTGTAACAAAACGTACGCACGAGTTGCAGCGACTGCCATGGTTACGCTTGCTAGCAATTACCCGTCTAATACCCCTTCTCCAACCTTCGTGGCGCCTCCACCCCACTGTGTATCCTCTTACACGCGCGGTGAAGATCCGACCAGAAAACCAGAGAGCGTTCGCATTCCTCCTCCTTCAATTGTCTATTTGGAGTTCACCTCCGGTGCTGCTAGCGCCTCGGTCCCGCCTTCCTGCATACTGGCGGGCGGTAGATGTAAGCTACTGATCCGACAAGTCGTAGTGAAGGAACTTTCGAGCTTCCCACGAGATCCCACATCTTTCCGAAAGCATAGGCCGTGGCAAACATCACGGAGTTTACATCGGAGGCCCTTGGACATGGCAGCACGTGCGTGACCGCCGCAGCTTTGCTGCTTCAGTTTTGTGAAAGGCGCGGACCCCTACCCCGCCCCCAAAAAGCAGGGGGCTTTGACATAATGGAACCAAAACTCGTCCAAATGCATTCCCGTGCTCTGCCCGCCCGCAACATTTCGGCACAATATGTGGAAAAGTGCCGGAACTGTTTTTTTTTTTTTTTTTTTTTTTGGGAAGTGCCGGAACTGTCGTCCCTGTGGGATGCAAAAAAATACAAAAGAACATTTTTTGGGGGGGGGAAAACGGTCGTTACCGCTGGCGCTTTAGCGCTCGGTCATAACGGCGCCTGCTTCGCCAGGCCTAGTTGGCGGTGCGAGTTCCGTCGTGGAAGGACTGCCGTGGGTGAAGCTCCGATGCCCTTGTATTGTCGAAGGACTATGGCGGCGGCCATAGCTGGTATCGTCAGCAACTAGACAGTTGCCACCTTGCCCCTGAGTCTCGAGTTTCGTGTTCATTGTTACACATACAGTACGTGGTACTCTGTTGGAACCTAGCACTATCTACCTTCGCAGTAGGAGGGAGAAGTCTCCTAAGTGAAGTGGACAATTGACCAAGATGGAACCCGAACCCCCGCCACCGGGAGGGATGGATCCGGATGCAAGAATTCAAGTCCCAGGAGATTACCGTTTGGAAGAGGAGAGAATTCTGGAAATGGTCAGAGCATGCTACGAGGAGGGCATTGTTCCGACTGATATCGATCCAGGGCTCATGGAAGTCAACCGAAGGGGAGTCAAATTCATTTTAAACAATTTGCAATAACCCATGCCATATGTCTCGTGGAACTTAGGGCCATCAGAAGGCCTACCTGGCCGCCCTCAGCCCGGCCAAACAACGGCAGGAAAGGCCCTTCACGAATTCAGAGCCTGGGTTTGTGACAGTTGACTGTGCTCAACTATCGGTCAACCCAACAGTCAAAGTCCAAAGGTACCTAGCCCAGGCTGCTGGTCAAGCACACACTTGTTTGGATGCAGGTACCCAAACAGCATCAGGTCCAAGGGAGAAGTCTGCAAATGTACAATCCGGGCTGTGAGATGTGAGTCAATCTGGATGACTGGGGGAAAGGCACCCGAGGTCAGACAGCCTCGACGACTGCTACTTAAGGCTGGCCTCGAGCGAGTCAAGCATTCAGTCTTGCTATGCTGCTTTGACGCTGGCTCAACTTTGGCCTGATGCTGGCTACATGCTGGTTGTGCACAGGCGTTGCGGGTGACGGTACGGAAGGGAGGCAGCACACTGGCACGTTCTCAGTGCGCTAGGCAATGCTGACGTGGCGCTGCCTCTGGTCTACGGGGCATGCTGACGTGGCGCTGCCTCTGCTATATGTGGCGCTGCCTCTAGAATATGTGGCGCTGCCTCTGGTCTACGTGGCATGCTGATGTGGCGCTGCCTTTGGTATATGTGGCGCTGCCCCTGGTCTATGTGGCGTGCAGACGTGGCACTGCCTCTGGTATATGTGGCGCTGCCATTGGTCTGCATTGTTGATGTGGCGTATGCCACCTGTCTTAGTTGCTGACCTGGCACTGTCCACGCTATCTACATGAGGCGACTGGTTGCGAGGAAGAGGAAGATCGAGATCTGTGGATGTAGAGAATCGGGTACTCACATGTGGTTGACGTCGTCACTGGAAATTTGTTGTGTCTTTAAAGTCTTCATGAGATAAAGCGTCACTTGGCACTATTGTACGTGACCCGGATTATTCTTATTATCATTGATGATGTAGTGTGGAAAGAAGCCCGGAGAAGGAGAGGGATCTGAAGGGTTATGTTTATCCTCTCTTCCTCTCTATTCTCTTTTTGATAACGAGTTACTGTTTGAAATATCACTTCACAATTTGAAGACGTTAATGTAGATATTGAAACTATTGTTGATTGACGACTTCTAAGTATCTGTCAGACCAGGTTCATTGCAATTTGGTATCGGAGCAACTCTTCATTGCGATTTGTTGTCTGTTGTCAGGTGCTGACGTGGCACCCAGGTAAGTGGGAAGTGTCGCATGTGTAAAACAAAACGCGTTTATTAACGTGCGCGGTAAACACCGCAAGTCTAGACATTGTAGTAATGCACATGCGAGCAGTTGTCCCTTGAAGATGATGACGAGGCTATGTTGAAGATTGAAGAGTTGTGTTGGCAACAGGCTGACATGGCTCTAGTACTGCTGATGTGGCACATTGTTATATGGCATGCAGGGCATGGTCTGACGTGGAACATACATATATCGCTACTGCTTGTTGTTGACGTGCTAACGTGGTATATTGGTGTAAGGCAGATATGCATTGTGACGTGGCATCCCTCCTTGTAGACCGTTTCGGTCCTTGACGCTGACGTGGCAAAATTGTTGCGTTGGCAGGTCATGGGTGACACATGGCAAGTGTAAGGACTGTTGAAGGTGTGAATGTGCACTTGGGTTGTACTGCTGCTTCAGATGATTGAGAAGAGAGCTAACCATTGATTGTGTTATGTGTTGGTTCTACTTACCTGTTGGTTGTCTGTGGATGTTGTTCATACTTACACTTGTGTTGTTGTCTTGATAACACTGGTCGTGGCTACGGTACTTGTAGTTGTAGAGTGTCATCACAAAGAATAAACATCAAAGTTATAACCCAGGAAAGACTTGGAAATTTGTTTCTTCTGATAATTTCTTGTTCGAAAGTTGTTGCAGAAGACGCGTGTACTATGGAATTTATTTTTGTCTTTAATTTTATTTATTTTGCAATAAATACACGCGGGCAAAATTAACTTTCTCTGGAAATGTCTGCGTGCCTCCATCCTGACGCGGTTCATTCCACTTCTTTTCTTTCTTATCCCTCTCATAGTCTACACTGATGAAGAAATAGGGGATCTCAAGACGCGTGGACAGATTGACGGAAGAAGGCAAACATTACAATACCTTCTTCGGCAATTGCTTGCTGAGATTCACGGTGTCGGTCCAGCAGTTGAACAACACGTTCACGGACAGTTCAACCTGCAAGCAGCTGAGGAAGAACTAGGGACCGCGAAAACTAGTGTTCAGATGTTGGAAACTGGGTGGCGCGTCGAGGAACTCATTCAACAAGGGCGTATGACTCTTGACCGGTATGTCGCCGAGTAGTTGGAAGAAATGAGCCGGAAAGGAAAGCAAGAAGAGACAAAAGAAGAAAAGGAAGTGGAACCATAATTGTCTGTGGAACTGATGGAGGAGAATGTCGGACAATTAGAAAATACCAGAAGGAAGAAAAAAGAAAAATTGAAGAGTTCAGAAGAAAGAAACAAGAGAAAAAACAGCAAGAAAAAATGTTGGACGAAATAAGAGAACGGTTTCACTTCGAGGAAGTTGAGATTGATCTGTCATCTGTGTTGCAATCTATTATGGCTTATCTTGTTCATCTTGAAAAGAAGATAGACCCTAACACTATCTCATTAGAAAGTATGATGAGAACGATGAAAGGTAAGGACAAGGTGAACTCTGAGGAGGAGAAAAATGGGAAAATAGAAAAGAAACCACCCCAGGAGAAACTTGTGAAAGATGCAATGCGGAAGGAGGACAAACCCGGACCCTCGAAGAAAGAGTCTGAGGAACCGACAGAAAAGAAAGAAAAACCGGTCAAGAAAAAAGAAGAACCCGTCGATAAGAAAGAACAACCGGCTAAGAAAGAAGAACCGGTTAAGGAAGTGGAAAAGCTGAAAAAGAAAGAAAAGGTTAAGATGAAATTGTCATTTACGTACAGCAACAAAAAGGAAGAAAATCAATTCTTGTGAATCGCCGAAATACAGACTTATTGTGGCACTGCACTCGTTGAGCCTGAAAGTCATGTTGCTTTCTCCACGTCTTGTTTGCGAGGAATGGCCAACAAATGGGTGCTGGACAAAGCCAACGCTGTTGGCTTTCAAGACATAGGTGAGTGGTCTAAGACCCTGACGTTGAGGCAGTTTCTCCATAAAATCAAGGAGAGATTCCTTGACAAAACGACAACCGATAAGGCTTTCGATGAACTCACCACTACAGGCCAAAGCGTTGGACTTATGTTGATGCCTTGTCTCGTGAAGTGGACCGTCTATTGCAAGTACCTGGACTGAACCTTTAGGACAACCAGGTTCTTTACATCTACTCACGTGCATTGCTCGAGCCCATTCGTGGACAGCACGTGGCCGAATCGAAGTCGAATAAGTATCACTATCGACAATTTTGTGATTTCGCTCTCCAACGAGAACAAATGACCGCGCAGGTAAAGGGGTCATACACTTCGGTGGTTAATTCGGGACCGGTAAGAGGTTATGGCAAGTGGGTCCTTTGACGGCACAAGCGCAAGGACCATATGCTTGTATTATTTGACAATGAGACTGTAGAGAAGTTACCTATGCAAGAGTCTGATGGAGGAGGAGGTAACGACAGCGGTGAGTCCGGGAAGGGTAGCGTCACTTTTGTCATGGCCAACAAAGGAGGTCAGAACCAGTGGAAGAAGAAGAAGAAACCACACTCGTTTCCCGAGCATCCTGGCATTGCGTTCGGGAGGCCTTGGAAGAAAATGAATTTGAGCCGAGAGGAATGGTAGTCCAAAATAGACAATCATCAGTGCCTTAAGTGTGGTACCGTGGGGCACGTGATAGTCTGGTGACCGATTATTCGAAACCCAAAAGCGAGCAGTCAGTAAGAGTAGCATCTGCTCCTACTGAGTCGAAGGGTTCATACGAAAACAAAGGTAAGGCGCCTACAACCCCTTCTACCCCTTCGACTCGCAAGGCAGAGGAAGACTCTTCTTCGGCCCGTCGTCCAGACCACCCTGATACTGTACTTTGTTCTGTCTTACTGGACGATTCCCTTAATGAGCTCCACGATGAACTCATAGCACTACGGAGTTCATGGGCGAAGAAAACTAAGTCCAAGGGTGAGTTGATGATCACGGATATTGAGATTGCGCATACGT